ACCTCTGAGTCTCCTTTTAAGACTTTTAGAATGGGGGTGGGGGGTGGAATATAAAGTGGCTGTTGTTATATAAGAACTTAATTTGCAACTTCATGGAAAAACAATTAAAACAGGCAAACTGTAAAGGTCAGTTGGGGGGAGAAGATGTAAATCTTCAAAGCAGATGAACAACAAGAGGAGAAGATTAAAACAACACCAAGGTTTCCATGACGAAACTGTTCCTCCCTTCAAATACATTTATAAACAGATGACAGCCTGTTTGGAGGTCAAAAATAAAAATGGCTGATGTAAAATTAACTCGGAGAAAGAAAGAGAGACAGAAAGATATGGCTCCAGCATAAACAACCCCATCATACATTCAGCGAAGAAGAGCTTTAATCAAACACAGCAGCCTTTGTTTGGGAACACCACGTGTAGGACTGCTAAAACTTGGACCAGACAGCTGTGGATGGAGCTGCAGAACCTCTAGGACAGAAATGTGGGATTAATAATCTGCCAAGCTTCCATTTTTGGATAAAACTTGGGCCGAGTATGACTCGTCTGTGCTGCACAGGCCTGTGAGTGTTTTTGTGATGGGCATAGTTTTTGAGAAGCATCATGAGGGGAGAATAACCTGGCTGCACCGAGTCCTGCTCGCTTCTCTGATATCAAAATACAGCAGACGAGCCAGCTGAGGCAACAGACTGGAGAAAAGTCGTAGCTGTGAAACAGAATGAGATTAACCTGAGCCTGGGCTCATACTGTATAATCTTGTAGTGGAATATATTTAAGGGTGTCATTGTATCAGCATTGACGCACCCTTATTACTATTCTGTTGTAACAATTGTCTCTTTTAACAGGTCTTTAACATATGCCCTATATAAAACATAAGGATTCTCCAATAACTATAGTGTTTGGAACACTCATAAAAAGTTCTGATACCACTTCACGGGACGTCTCAGCAGAGTGGTCAGGTGGTGAAGAAGGAGCAATGTGAGCCGTGTAGATGTAATGGCCGTCTTGATCCACACTCTCTTTAGGATGGTGCAACAGAAGGCTGTTTGATAATCACTAATAAACACCACCAGAAGAAGAAGCTGCTGCAGTGAGGACACAGTTTAAAGTGAACAATTGAGCAGAAGAAGGTTCTGGAAATACACAGATATGAACCTGAGCTTCCCGACAATCTCACTGCTCAGACCCTGACAAGAGGATGAAGGGCTCCATCATCATCACTGAGGCAAAAAGTTGCATTAATAAAAAAATCTGAGAGCAGTGGAGACATAATCGATCCAGGAAAGCTGAGACAGGAAGCCTGTCAGCAGCCCCCCAGAGAGATGACCCAGCCAGATCGGCTGCCGCCATCATTCAACAGCATTCTAAGGAGAGGGGATGAAATGGAGAGTGGATCTGGCTAAAACTGTTTGTGGTTATTAGAGTCTTCCACTATGGATCAATGAGAAGCCTGCAAAACTGCTTAACACGCTGCTTAAAGACTGCCAACGTAGTCGCCTCAAAGAAAACTTGTGCTAATGCTAAGCTACTACTTCAAAACTGCGGCTTTTCTCTCCACTCTTGCTGCTGTGAGCTGGATGACTTTTAAACAGTGAAAAGGCAGAAATCCTGTGCATTTTTTATGTTAACCAAAAGTATAAACAAGGAAGAGGGCCGGCAATGGAGGAGGGGCGTACCAAAGAGACCATCTTATCACAAGCAGAACTGGTTTGTTCCACTTTGGAGTAAGCTGTTGGAGGAAGAATCAGTTTTGTTGTGTGTTTCCTTGACTGATGAAGCCTTCTGGATCGAAGGCGAAACGTTTCAGCACAAAAAAAGAAACTGTCCAGATGACCTGACTGAAAAATGTTGCGATATTTTATGTTGTTTATTTGTCAGCTTTTAGCACCGTTAGTCTTTGTTGTACTGAAAATGTTCATGTTGATGATCACTAAACGTCCATCCATTTGTAGAAACATAAAAGTCCACGTGTGTAACTTTCAGTCTTCTGCCACTCACAGCTCAGGCTTCGATTTTCCTCATCTTTACATTTCTCATTCAGTTCATACATTAAAATGTAGATGTTGTTACTCACTCAGCTTAGGTTATCACAAAGATGATGGAATTGTGGGTAGTAGCTGCATTCATGCTATTCAAACCTTTTTGTATTTTAATTTTTGTTAAATAATTCATTCAACCTGTATTTATGCAGGTTAGTCTCATTGCGTCACGACGACTCATTTTCAAGACAGACCTGTTAATGTAATGTTAAATCACAGAAACTGACAGGTGACACTCAGTCTGTTAAAGAGGAAAATCAATAGGAGGCCTCTGATTGTGTGAACGACAGAGAACACCAACACACAGAACAATGCAGTGAGGTAGAAAGTTGTGAATTTGAATATACTCACAATCACAGTGCAAGCTTGGCAAACTGATGTTTAAACTCACTTCTATCTTCCCACCACTGTCTTTATCAGGATCATCCACATACAATTCATTTACACTGCAATGAACAGAAAACAGACAAAAGGTTAGACACTAAGAAACTTATTGTCATTTTAAATAAAGACTTTTCGATGCCCACTGTGTCATTTTCACACTTATTTGAACAAAGACTGATCTTTTGGAAAATGGCAATAAGAATAATTTTTGCTGTCACTTTTAGTGTAATTTCCTTCCTTTTCGTCACACCCTCCTCATGTCATCCCCTTTATTACACACTGCCAGGAGGCTGACGCATGCACAAAGCCAATTTCCTGTGACCAAATTGTCTGTTGGCTGGTTGTAACACTGCTCCGGCAGAGCGCAACATAATGAGGGCGATTGGCATTCATTATTGACTCCCGGTGTGTTTCGGTTACAGGATGCGGCGATACCTACATTTCAGTGGCTATGAATCCCGTCAGCTCAGACAGGAAAAGGAAGAGGATGAAGACACAGCAGAGGATGGATACTGTGAGGAGAAAAAGAAATGTTATTTCAACTTTGGTGAAATGAATCACACATTACATCAGCTTGTCATGAAATGAAGCAAACCAAATGAGCCCAACGCAGTATTTTTAGAACGTCTGACCTAAGCTGTTGACATTAACAAAATCGCAGCGGCCATAAAATTGTTCCCTTCAACAACGTTTTTATGGGCAGTGTTAGGCCAGCTATTACGCAGGTTTTTAAAGACCATCATACACTAATTACAGGTTGAATACCAGCACAGCAGGCAGCAGTTACGACATCTTGTTTTTAAAAAGGTGATCTCATGGCTTCTTTTTTTTTTAAGAACTCTACAAAACGGCTCATTTTAAGGTTTTTAAACAAACTTAGTGAAACCCCAAATCCTTCCTTTAATGAAACATGTCAGAGACCAAAATTTAAGTATTAACTTTGAGTTCATGTGTCAAACTAATCTGTCAGTTTTTGACAAATATCATTCACTTAGATAATTAAAGGCCAAGCATTCCTTGACCCAATGGATAATTTAATGACGTGTTAAACTAAGATGAACTCCTAATGAAAAGAGAGACAGGTATAGCCATCTTGGTCAAACCTGGTCAATAAAGTGTGTAATCTGAAACAATATCACGAGAGCCTTTAGCACTGTAGAGAATAAGCTCTTTCTCAAAACTACGGCAGGACTTCTGGCTGCCTCGGTGTGATTTCTGAATGGACCGAGGTGGCAACAAACATACCCACGATGCACTTTTGTGTCAAAAAATGAGGCAATGGCAGAGCTTTAATGGTCAGCATGTGAAAAGGTAAGCTGCTTTGAAGCTCAATAACACTTTATGTGACCGCTCAGTGCTGGGATTTCAAATCCAAAGCAACATACGGTACGTATTTATTTTGGAGGAGAACTCTCAACTCTTTGCTTTTTTAACTAGCTATTTTTTTAACAATGGCAATATGGGACAACAGAAAAATCTGTAAGCTTCTTGCTCTTTAACGTGAACACGCACAAAATAGAAAATGTCATGACAAAGTAGCCCATCACACCTTTAATGTGCAGTGCAACACGTAAAAGCAGCTGACCGGCTCCATGACTCTTCTGGTTCAGTGGCCAACTCCAATAGCCAAAAGTGACTTAGAGGACTGGCCTTTGCAGTCATTTCACAGAACTGTTTTATAAAAGAGCACTAATGACTCTCAGCTACTACCACACCACATTTTAACTCAATATTTGTGAAAATGAATGAGTTATTTGTGCTTGCTAATATTTAGCTGTGGCATCAATGTATTATTTATTATTATCTTATAATTATTATTAAATATCGTTATTTATTATTATTGGGGTTGACTCCAAAAGTTGATCAATTGTAGATTTACAATTCAATTCAGTTTATTTATATAGCGCCAAGTCACAAGAGAAGTCATCTCAGGGCACTGAACAGAAACATTCATATTATATATTAAAAAAAAGCCAATTAGTAAAAGTTCTCGATCTAATGAATCCAGCAGATTGTGTTGTATCTTCACTTGGTCGCAGTCTCCCATCCTGAGCAAGCACAATGACAACAGTGGAAAGGAAAAACTCCCTTTTAACAGGAAGAATCCTCTAGAGGAACCAGGCTCAGGACAAGCGGCCATCTGTTTTGTCCAGCTGGAGTTTGAGAGGAACAGGAAGGAGAAACAAACAAACATAGAATGGTGAGCCCAGACATACTTTCTATTGGAAGAAAGACCAACAACGGATATTAAGGATAGAAATAATTACAAACGGGTAGAGTAAAGCAAGTAAAGACAGCAACAGAGAGAGAAAATGTGGTCAGTTTGTCCTCCAGCAGTCTAAGCCTATAGCAGCATAACTAAGGGATAGCTCAGGAAACCCAAGCCGACCCCAACTATAGGATTTATCAAAAAGGAAAGGCTTAAACCTAATCTTAAAAGTGGACAATGTGTCAGCCTCACAGACAGAAACTGGAAGTTGTTCCAATGGTCTTTCAGATGAAAGACAAAATGTTTCTCCCTTAAAGAAACTTGTCCAGATGACATGATTTAACCTTTTTTGTGGTTCCACAAGAGAGGGGCCTTAGAACTGAAAGCTCTTCCTCCCATTCTGCTTTTGGAAACTCTAGGAACCACATTTAAAAAAGTAAAGTCAGGTCCTCTGGAAGTTCAAAAAACAACAACAAAAAATTGTAGAAACATTTCATCTTTCATCCAAAAGGCTTCTTAAGTTTGAAGAAGTCTTTTGGATGAAAGATGAAAAGTTTCTACAATTATTTTTTTTGTTGCTGTTTTTTTGAACTTCTAGAGGACCTGACTTTACTTTTTTAGATTTTTCTACCTGGATTATTGAGCATGCGTCAGGATATCTAGAAACCACAAGTATACCTGCAGTCTGAGAGTGAAGTGCGCTGTTAGGAAAATATGGAACAGTAAGATCTGTAATATAAGATGGAGCTAGGTTGTTGAGACCTTTCTAGGTTAGAAGTAGGATTTTGAATTCTCTTCTGAATTTCACAGTCACGGAGCCAACGGAGAGAAGCTAAAACTGGAGAGATATGGTTGCTCCTTTTAACTCATTAAAAATCTGGCAGACACATTTTGGATCAGCTGAAGACTTTAAAGAATTTTTGGGGACAGATAATAAACAAATGCAATAGGCCAGCTTAGACATGATAAATGCATGGCCCCAGCTGCTCCGGATCTGCTGGAGGACAGGAGCTAGTCTCAGTTGGTATGTTTACATGGACATAAGTAACCGGATCAAATGGCCGGTCGGAATAAAAGTGTGTCATGTAAACACTCCGTTCGGGTTATTTTTTGTGTATTCGGCGCGATCAGATATAATTTGTGATCAGAACGAAACGGGTGGTTTACGCCGATCCGTAACCCGATCGGTGCGCATGTAAACGCTTAATCTGTTCGTTTTTATCTGACCGTGAAAAACGTTGGTTACGTACTGTAACCCCAGATTCTATGAGTATAAGCGTAGCCCTTTAAGGCCTTCGCTTTAGTGGGTTTATCCCGTTATGCAGAGCATAAGCACTGAAAAAAATTAGTCCACGCCCACCTGCTGTGTGGGCCCCACCCGGTCCGTATAAATTACGTTAAGAGCGGGAAATCGGCTCCCAAAATAGCTTTTTCTTCAGCCATTTTAGGAGCCAGTGAGGCCCGACGCTTAAAGGGCTACGCTTATACTCATAGAATCTGGGGTTACAGTACGTAACCAACGTTCTATGTCGTATAAGCTTCGCCCTTTAAGGCCTTCGCTTTAGTGGGTAAAGGGCGAAGCCGATGTGGTCCTCGCCTCACTGGGTCCATTCGAACACAGTAAGAAGCGGAAGCTTGCCCAAAAAACGTCTTGTCACTCAGCTCCCCGTGTGCATAAACTACGCATCGCGTAATTATGTGCCATGCACAGACGCATGTTGTGTAACTATGCGTTCTGACAAGCATGAATACCCCGGAAAAACTTTCAACGGGAAGAGGAAGTTGAAAAGAGGGGGGGAGGGGGGCATGAACCAACTGGTTCATGGCTGAACAGTATAAACAGATTAATGTCCATGAATTGATAAATAATCAAATGAACTGATTGGTAACAATAATCATGAACTGATTAGTGACAATAGAACCAGAAACACAGACACAACTGTGACTGATAACAACATCTCACACTGTAATGCATGCAGACAGAAGTGAGCTTAAACAGAGTTCCATGAGAACAATAATATTCATTCTGTTAGAGCACTAAGGACAGAATGTGTCATGGAACGAGCCGTTACATCACGTAGGTAAAAGCGAATAAATGAGCAGGGTGTTGACCATGCAGCCGCAGTGCAAATGTCCTGCATTGACATACCATTATGCAGAGCAGTCGAAGATGCGATACCTCTGGTGGAGTGTGCTTAGAGGTTGACAGGAGGCCCTAAATCTGATGCTCTGTAGGCTTCAGAAAAGGCCTCACACAGCCAGTGTGACAAGCGCTGGATGGATAACGGCGACCTGCAGAAGCATCTCTATAATGCACAAACAATTGTTGAATTTGAACGCATTGCAGCTGTGCGCGTTACGTAACACGTCAACGCCCGCACCGGGCAGAGAAGATGAAAAAATGCTTCTTCTTCTGATCTGTGGGGGGGAAAAAACCCCTCCAACGATATCACTCTTGATTTAAAAGAGCTCGTGATGTTTTAGGCATAAGAGCTGGGTTGGTCTTAAATCAGCTGAGCTGCCCGTCAGCCTAATTCTAAGGCATGACGAAGCAACAGAGAGGGCAGATAAATACTTACCCTCTTAGCGGGTGTTAAAACCAGCAACAGGGCTGTTAAAAGAGACAAGAATTTAAATGAAACCTGATCCAGAGGCTCAATTGAAGCTTTGATCAGGGCTCGCAGGACCAGCGTTAAACCCACTGTGGAAACAAGTGGGCGTGAAAACAGGCCTACATCTCTGTACACCTTTTAGAAAACGCTTCATCAGCGGGTGATAAAAGCTGTTCTGTCTCCAAACCCTTTGTGGCAGGAAGAGATGGCTGCAATCGTACGTTAAAGCGTACTGAAAGCCAACTCCCTATCCATCAGCTGTTGTAGAAAAACAACACGCCGCTTAAAAGGCATGAAGTGGTCTCTAAACCTTCTCTGTGCACCAGCGCTGAAAAGCCGTCCCCTTGATGTGTACAGAACTGTGGTAGATGCAGCACGTGAATCTTGAATTGTGCACACTATCTCCTGAGGGAGACCCATCCTCTAAGTGGAACCGCTCAGCGGTCAGACCCACCGGTGTTGACCTATTTCTGGGTAACTCTTGGTCGCTCCTCCTGCCTGAAGGAGAGCATCCTTCCTCCATGACAGTTCCACGGCGACCCAACAACAGACGTTGCAGGCCTGGGAACCATAGTGCGTTCACACGCCGGGAGCCACCAGGAGAGCTGTCAATCCCTCCTCTTGAACTCGGTTCATGGACCGTAAAAAACAGAGGAGGTGGGGGGGAAAGAAACGCGTAAAAAGCGTTTCG